TCAATTCTCACTCTTAGTGAACCAATACATAAAACACAAAGATCCTGATATAGAAATCGTATAAAATCCACAATTTTTTTGCAAAATCCTAGAGCTTGTTAATGGGTTTCAATCAAAGAACAAAATTCAGATAATGATATATCATATTACATGGCTACCGAGAACTCCAAGAACCAAAGCTAAACCCAAATCCATAAAGAACAGGAAAAATTACAATCGAAAACCCATTTTAATAAATATAGCATCATTTCCACCCATAACCTTCCTTCTTGAACTAGAATTCAAGGATCGAAGGCGGAGATGCATACCTAAGGGAGCAGTGGTGGCTGCAGACTAGCAGGAAGTTACGAACGCCACGAATGACGGAAACAGATTTTATTTTCAGAGTCCGTTGTTTTCATTTGGGTCGTGTCCATTTTTTCTGGCCTTACCTTGCTAGGCCTACACTTCTTTTGGGCTTAGTTCCTGAAAAAATACATTTTTAAGGCCTGGTTATTTGTCATCATGGACCGATTCAGAAAAACAACAATTGCTTGGCCCACTAGTTTTGGATTTAGGCTTACCATTTGGAGCCCCTTTGCACACGCACGTATGTACATCCCATAATAATAGATTCATTACAAAACAAATGTTTTCTTATATATTAAGTTTAGGATTTAAATTTTAGAATAACACTTAAAAAATTATTTTTTTAAATGCATTAGGCGATGTGCATGGTGAGCTTTTAAGATTGCTTGAATAAGGATTAGTTTCACTGCATAAAACAAACACATAGGTCCTATGTAGAATGGCCGATGATAATTGGTAAAGGTTAAAAAATCTATTCGGTTTGATTGTTGTAAACGGTTTATATTATAGAGCATATTTAATGACTAATATTATTGTTATTTATAATTTAAACATTATTAGCAGTTAGATATTATTTATCAATTATAATTGATTTAAAATAACTAAATTAATTAAATAAGTCAAAAAACTAAATATCTCAATGGTAATTTCTTTTCAGTGGTAATTTTTTTTTTATGAAAAATCAAAGGTCTATAGTTCACGTAACATAACATATATATGAGGTAAATTAAGGAATAAAAGTGAGTTGGCTCGTATTGTGGAAGTTAAGATTAAAAAAATTAATTAAATGAAACAAAGCCTTTAAAAATGATTGATATTTATTATTATTACTTATAATTTAAATATTATTAATAGTTAGATATTACATATCAATTATAATTGATTTAAAACAACTAAATTAATTAAATGAGTCAATAATTTAAATAGTTTAATGTTAATCTTTTTTCAGTAGTAATTTTCTTTTACGAAAAATAAAATGTC